GGGGTGCGAACGCGGAGGCCCAATCGCCTGCTTACGCCCGCCCGGCGCGTCGTGTCGATCGCTGTGCTCCCCGGGCTTCCGTCGCTTGCCGCTGTTGCGAGGGCCTGCGGCGACAAGCAGGACAAGACCGTCGTTTGATGCGACGGACGGAGCGGGCCATTGACGTGGTTGCACTCCTCTCGATTAAATTATGTTGGCGGAGTTTGATGAATTGTTGTAAATGGTCAAGCTGAACTTGTGGCTTTCCGAGCGGAGTTTGAATCATTATTGAACAATCTCATTTGGACCTGGTTCAAGTCGTGAAATAGTTTTTGCCTCATAATTCTAGCCTCGAGCAAAGATGACATTGAGTCGATCGGTCAACCATTCCGCTGGTCACCCGAGTTACTCCGAGTCAAAGTACATTGACACTGGCACTAGAATCCACTAAATAGTAAACGCATTTGCCCCAGATCGTTCTCTTCTTGTCATCTACACCCTTCTCCCTTCCCTCAGGTAAAGCTGGTACACAATAGTACATCAAGAGCCAAGCAGGATTCAGATCCACAGCATGAGCACCATCTATTACTAGTAAGGGAAAACGACTGGTTCAAATGCGGGAATCACCCACTAACACGAGCAGCTAACAGTAAAACTGCGACTAATAGCTACTAGTCTGTCAATAGCACCAACTATATCCACGCTCTGCGAAGAGCGTCCCCCCCATTCGACACTTGCCAGTGACGATGAAGAAATGAAAAAGGGAAAGAAAGATGCTGGATATCAGCTAGCTGGAGGCGGTAAATGATAAGTAGCGGCTCCAACCCACAACGCGGCATTAATCGAGTTGCGACTCTAAAGGAGAAGCGGGGACGCGAGGAGCGAGTCCCCTGTTCCACAGAGAAACGGCCAGTATGCCCGGTGAATGAAGCAGGTGTGGTTATGAAGAGAAGGGAACAATAACAGAGGAAGGTGTGCACAAGAAACGAGCAGCGAGGAACCCGAAGACGAAATTCATATCCTATTGCAGCTCCTTCGCGCCGTTGAGGCTAGCACATAGAAATGGGCATGCGAATTGGAGAACCACTGTTTGGACGCGATTCAAAAGGCTCTATATCGTTGCTTCTTAGTAACCAGCAAGAGATATAAGGGATGGTACTCATTTGAGATCCGTTGCCAGAAGCACTGCCGACAACCGCGCTAGCACGACACAGAGAATAGTGCGTGAAGCTTCTGGTGGCTCCCGTTTTCGTGTGGGTAGAGTTGTATGTCTTGTTTGGCTTTGGATTGCGAGCCACGGGCCTGAACTTGGTAAATATGGCTTGAGTGTCTAAATATGGCTTGTGCTTGAAAGAAGAGGGTCGGTGTCCGGGTCCCTTTTAGGATAGGCGCACGTTTGAGTTGCGTGAAGGAGAAGGATGACGGGACAGGTCATGCTCCGGGGAGAAAGAGCATGAGCGCGAGCCCATGGAGTATTTCAAGTACTATGACGCGGCGGAAGGCACGGGATGAAGAGTTTGCAGAGAACCGATTGAGAAGAGATAAGAAGGAGGAGTAGTTCCGCCCTGGTATCAACGGAGAGTTAGTTGCCACAAGGATAGAGAACCAAAGAAAACGCACAGCAGACGTTCGCCTTCTCCACCCTCAGCTCTGGCTATCATTCAAATTTCGAGTAGGCACAACATCATTGGCGGTTATCGCGACCGATGAAGAGGTGAAAATTCATCTTCCGTGGGCGCCGACGGCCTTTCTTCATCCTTTTAGAAGAGTTGGATGAGGCGACGTGAAAGAAGGCGGAAGCAAAGTATGGGATTCCGGTCACAGACGTCGCTGATCAGTCCAGTTTTCACTTCGACCTCCCATCTTGTCTTTCTTTGGTTGGAATCCTGCGCGCGCGCTTCCCGCTGGGTCGAGTTTGAGCTCCCCCGACATCTTGGGCCATGTCTCTACCACTTTCTTCTTCTTCAAATGGTCAGTCGTCGGGGGTTACTGAATGCAATTGCTCACTTGCGCTTCGTCCACAGGAGGCATCGCGGAGCATTTCCCTTTTCACGCAGAACAACACACCAAGGACACAACCTATTACTTTGACGATGGAGACTGCATTCTTCTTGTGGAAAACACCTATTTCAAGGTCTTGACTCCAATTCAAGTCCATTCAAGCGCTCAGTCGACAAACCCAGCTTCACAAGGCATTTTTATGTCGCGACCCGAGCTCCATGTTCTGTAGCATGTTCAAGGATGCCAAGGGCCACGGAACAGATGTCATTCCACTGTCTGACACGGTAGAGGAGTTTCGTGCACTTTGCTGGATATTGTATGCCCTGTGCGTCTTCATTTTCACCAATTTATAACCCTGACTTATATGTCTGCAAGTCCTGACGAAATATATTCTCTCGCTACGCGACCGCGCGATGTCGATGTTCGCAAACACCTACGCATCATCCACATGGTCAACAAATATGTCCTTCCACGATTCGAGTCATGGGCATGTACAGTGCTCCAAGCCATTCCGTCTGCATTGAGAACATACCTCGACACGTGCGGAGATGATGACCTCGAGAATGCTATGAATCTCGCCATGTGCTATCAAGTCGATGACAACGGAGCTGCTAATAGTACGACCAGTCAGGGTCCGCTCCACGGGCTTTTGAAGATGGTCGAAGATACTTGGCTCAAGCGGCTGACTGGATCCGGGCCACCCAACTCGCCTTCCCAAATCGACTACCGACGCGCCTTACGGGTCGGCGAGAATTACGGGCGGCGCCAGTTCCAAGGCAAAATCTATCTGCACCTCCGAAAACGCCTTACTACCGAACAACTCATCACTTCCGATAATTCTGATCTTCAGGCGCACTTGGGCCTCGACGACGCCCAGTTTGGACGGTTTTTGCGCGGCTCGGCGCTCTTGCTTGGCGCTTGTGTCCCACATCCAAGCTCGATTCTCCCCGCTGACGCCATGGCGGATCCACATTACCATGGCGGGTGTCAGGCGTTCTGGAATGGGTTGCAGTGGACGAAGATGTATCAAGACCCACTAGCGTTCTTAGAAATCCTGCGTCGAAATAGCTGTGCTGCTGCGTATTTCGGAACTTACCCAACCGCAGACGACATTGTGAACTTCTTTCTAGAGCCGGTCAAGGTAGGCCACACGTCCTCACTTTTGTTTTCAATATCTTTACTGAACTTTTCCAGACATGACAACTTGTAGATAACACATTCGCCATAGATGTACTGAGCATCGCTCCATTAGAGAGCCATCTCGAGTAGACTGTATCAGCCTCGATAATGGTTGCACTGCAAACTCGCCTTGTCTTTCCCCCGATGACATAATATTTTTCTCTACATCCGTCTAATTTAGGATTTACGATTGCCTCATGCTTGTCCACGAGGCCGATTTGTTGCCGTCCGGCGCCTAATTCGTGTGAGTACGCCAACCTAGTTCTTTCTCTCCCTCACCATTTCGCTAGGTTTCCCGAAGGATGGATCTCGCTACTGGCCAGCCCACTATGCCGCAAATGAAAGGTGCGATGCAAAGCCGCTATTCGTGGCAAATTCTCAACGAGCTCAGACTTTCTGGCTCATCTTGCGAAGCAGCTGGAGAGTCGAGACCCGCCATTGCACGACAAAACGTATTTCTTCGACGATGGAGATTGCACTTTCCTTGTCGAGGGTGTGCTGTTCAAGGTTCGTCTTTTGTCCGTAATCCCGCGCATATAGTAGTTTCTCATCGTCCCTAAGTTGCACAAAATCATCCTTGGTCGGGAGCCACAGTCGGCATTTAGCTCAATGTTCCAAAATGCCATCGGTGAAGAGACAGAGATCATACAACTTGATGACACGGCAGAGGAAATGCGGGCTCTATGCTGGATCTTGTATGCCCTGTAAGTCGGCATCTGCTGCGTCCACTTTCCGCTTCACTGATCCTCGAGGCATCTAAACAGCCCGATGGAGACTTATGCTCTTGTGTCTCAACCGTCGGGGCTAGACGTGATGAAATTCATCCGCATTCTTCATCTCACCGACAAATATGCCTTGCCAAATTTCTGCACTTGGGCATGGACGCTGATGTCCGCAGACAGCTCTGCGCTGTCAACACACCTGCAAACATGTACAGAAGAGCATCTCGAATACATTCTCCATCTTAGCGATCGCTGTAAAGAGACGGCACCCGATTTCATCGGACTTGTCGAGGCGGCGTGGATGACGCGCATCGAGGCGGGCGAAATATCGCATGCGTATGGGCTGACAGTGGCGGAGTCTGCTGACAGACGCGCGCTCCAAGGGCTCATCTATCTCGACCTGCGAAAACAACTCTGTCATGGCCCATTTGTCGCCTCTCCGTCGGCAGGTCTTGCGCATTTCGGCCTGACGGAGTTGCAACTCACGCGTCTGCTCTTCGGCCACGCGATATTGTCGAACATGCTCAATGTCCAGGGCACGCATCGTCCAAATATCTTTCAAAACTGCCCGCACAGTACTCGCTGTCGCGTAATCTGGGAAACGATTCCTTGGGACCAACGCGATCCACTTTCTTTCCGGGTCGCAGCGACTACGAGAGACAAGGTAAAGAACGCACCGTGTGTCGCTGCCCATTTGGAAGCCACCGAATATCCCACACGCGAAAATATTGCCGATTTCTTCCTCGGGCGCGTGTTTGACGAGTCTGACTTGGCCCGAGAGACGGATGGTTTCGGCTCATGATCTTCCTGCGACACTGAATGTGTGCTGACATGGAACTGTAATTTATTTGGCTTGGTGCAATTGCATGTGGAGGATGATTGGTCATGCACGTGATCGCGATGTGTACAACCTCATGATCGTGCGACTTTCCTAAGTACCCTTTCCTCGTTGTTTCCTTGAGGTTCCAGCTCCTCATTAGCTACCGCTCGCTTCGTTCCATTGGCCCACCATACTTCTTTACTGGACACCGCTTGTTGATCCACCACACTAAACATCGACGCTGCAGCAATGTTAACCGCACACGCGGACATGGCGTGCTCCTGAGACTGCTTATAAATATGCCCCGCGGCCCAGAGTCTCTTTTGCTCTGTCGTACGACGGCTTTCCACTTCTTCCTTACGATGTCTGACTCGATTCGTGAGTAGTAGTGCGTCTCGAACACTTGTCCTAAAACTCCTTACAGGACTTCCGTCGAAGAAGCGCAAGGCCTCAGAGGGCAAGGATGGGAAGAAGAAGAAGTCATCGAGCTCGAGTTCGCACTCATGGCTGTCGACCTTCCAGGCTCCATCTACTAGTAACGGCACAACCTCTTTGCCAGTGCCAGCATCGGATTCCCTTGACCCCATGCCCCATCCCCTTGTTCTGCCTGAAGCTTCCTCTGAGCCCCTTACCGCTCCAGACGCCCTCAAGTCATGGGATGTCCACGACACGAATGACGAAATCGGCGTTGCCCTTTCAAACGGTCGTCCTCCCTCGCCTCAGGCTGTTGTTCCCGTCCCAGATGTTCAAGAACAAGATATTCTACCGAATACATCGCGGGACTCAGTTGCCGTCGGGATACCAGAGCCGGAACCGGAAGCTTATGCCGCTGAACCGCCAATTCCCGAACCTGAAGAGCCTCAATGCTTAACGCCAAAGGACAACAAGTACTATTTCGAGAGTGGGGACTGCACGTTTTTGGTCGGCGGCGTGCTCTTCAAGGTAAGTCTGCTGATATGCACCATCTTGTGTCAAGGGTCTCATTACGGTCCAGGTACATAAATATGGGTTTCAAAAAGATCCAGATTCCGCATTCGCCAATATGTTCAAAGACGCTCAAGGCGATGTCTCAGCGCCCATACCGCTATCTGACTCAAGTGAAGATTTTCGTTTACTGTGCTGGGTGCTTTATGCTCCGTAAGTATCATCTCGGCCTTCGTTCAAATTCAATCTGACCATTCGTCTAGTTTGAGCAAGATATTCCGCCTGGCAACTCAACCAAACGATAATATCGACGTCAAGAAGTATCTTCGCATTCTCGACATCGCCCACAAGTACACTTTGGTGGACGTTGAAACATGGGCTTGGAGTATGGCGCAGCTTAACCCTTCCGCGATGCCCAGCCATCTGGATAGCTGTTCGGAAGGAGACCTCGTTGAGCTGTTTGGCCTTGCTATGCGATGCTCCACCTCAGCGCGAGAGTTTGTGCAGCTGGTCGAGACTGCATGGCTCGGGCGTGTCAAGCGCGATGAGTTGCGATGCAGTCGTGCATTGACCGTGGGGGAATACTACGGTCGCAGGGAATTTCAAGGCAATCTTTTCATGGAGATGCGGAATAGACTCACCAATGGGTCGATCTGGACTTCTCCGCAGCTGGGTCTTCAAAATCTACATCTAACGAAAGTCCAATCGGATCGCCTTCTGCTTGGCTTTGTCACTATGGCCAGCCAGATGGCCAGCATACGCCAATTGCTGTCCTCGGAGCTACCCATCGCAGGCGCCAACCTAAACAGAAGCTTCGGCCCTTCGCATTACCATATATCTTGCGAAGACGAATGGCGGACAATGTGTCATGAACGGAGTTTCGAATATGACAATCCAGTCGGTGCTCGTTTGATTCTTGAAGACGCGGGGAAATCAGCCTACTATACGTGCGTGATAGAGCGCTTCCAGGTCGTGGCAGCCGATTTGAAGCAATACGTTCCCGACAAGGCTGCGGACTACTTCCTTGGACCTGTCGTATCAGCAACGCCTCTACAGGATAAACCGCCAGAGATGCTGCCTCCAAAACCTATAGAATAGCATTTTCCAGTAGTGTGAAGTTATTTTTTCTTTGCATGATGTGCCGTTCTCACAATCGGCAAGCTTGGAAAGATCTTCACCAACGGGATTTTGTCGACACCGAAGTCATCTCGGCTCCGATGCCCCCTGCATAATTATTTGTTGATTATTTGGGATGTCGATCGCTGGTCCCTCGCCGCGCTCGTTCGTTCAAGCGCATCCCGACAGTAGTACCGTTTCACTTCCTTCTACTACGAATGTGTTTCAGTCTGTTGCGTAGGGAGCTAAGATCGATTGAGGCGTTACAGAGGACAGAACGTTCAGTGTGCAAAACGGATAACAATACGAGAGCCCTTTGTATCGCTGCATAGTCCTTGTTTCGTGTACAAGGCGTGTTTGTTCTCTTGGTGTAACTGAAAGATTGAAAGAAGCCTGCAATGCCGCATGGTGTGATGTGTGACGCTCGGCAAAAACGAAAAATTGCACTTGTCTCCTTACACTCACGACGCCGCCCCGCCCCAGGTAGGCAATGCCACTCCCATCGAGCTTGTGACGGTCAGCGATGCTGACGATGTCCATCTCTCTTCCAGCGCGATGGATCTCCAGACCCTGTCGAACCTCTTTGCGTCCACCCTCAACCCCGACCCCAATGCCCGTCGCGCTGCTGAACTCGATATTCTGAAAGTAAGCTTACTCTATGTCTTCTGCTCGATGTGCCTCACTCTGGTTAGGTCGGCAATGAGCCGGGAATGATTGGTGGACTACTGCAGATAATCGGGGCGGACAGCATTGACATGTGTGTAGCTCTAACGCGTGTTTTCGCTATCGTTTCTTACCTTCTATAGTTCCACTCGTCAATCTTGCTCGGTCTGGCTCAAAAATCGCGTCCACGGCACGTACTCCATTGACCCCGCCACTCGCCGCCCCAACCAGCCCTCCATCACCGAACCCGATAGAGAGGCTCTCCGAGCCAATATCCTTCCCTTATTAGCCGCGTCTCCATCACGTAGCATCACCGTTCAACTCGCCAACAGTCTCAAGGACATTGTGGCCCATGATCTACCCAACGCCCGCTGGCCTGGTCTTATCGACGCCATCAAGCAACTTTTGGTCAGTGGCGACATTCGCCATGTACAGGCTGGATGTGTTGCCTCACTCGAGGTCGTTCGTGCTTTCCGGTGTGTCACTATATGTCAGGTCTTCTTGTATTCGGTCTGAAACAAGGCATTGGTGTAGATTCAGACAAAAGGCAGACGTCCTGCCCCCGTTGGTGGCCCAGCTGTTTCCAACTCTCGTCGGAATTGCGACACAGATGATGCAGACACCGCCTTCCGCTGCCCAGGAAATCCCCGCAATGCTCCATCTCATCCTCAAAACATACAAAACGAGCATTGTCGTTAACCTTTCTGCTCACCAACAAAGTGCGGAAAGCATAGTGCCTTGGGGGCAACTTTTATTCGGTGTGGTCAATCTCCAAATTCCCAAGGAGGCGGTTCCCGAAGATGAGGACGATCGTGAGCGGAGCGAGTGGTGGCGCGCCAAGAAGTGGGCTTATGCAACTTTGGGAAGACTCTTTCATCGGTGCGGCATACCTCTTCTGGAGATAGTTGTCAAACTAACGACACAAAACAGGTTCGGCAACCCCTCGCAACTGCCCTCGACTATGCAAGCCGAGTATGCGGGATTTGCTCAGCACTTTGTTACTGTCTTCGCACCCGAAATCCTCGCCATCTACCTACGACAAGTCGAGCTGTATGTATCAGGCACTGCCTGGCTTTCGAAGAAGTGCCAGTATCAGATCTTTACGTTCTTCACTGAATGGTGAATACGTCTTTTGGTGCTACTTTTTTAGGCTGCCCGCTGATAGCCCTCTCATAGCATCAAGCCCAAATCGACTTGGACGTTGCTCAAACCGCATGCGCAGACCCTCGTCGAGTCGTTTGTGTTCCCGCAACTTTCGTTCAATGCTTCTCGAGAGCAACTTTGGGAGAGCGACCCCATCGAATACGTCAGAATGAATGTTGGTCAGTTACATCTTCCTCTGGGCAGGCACGATGACTGAAACTAAGCTTCAGATGAATCCGAGTCCTTCTCCACGCCTGTTTCTGCCGCAACAACGTTCCTCTTTTCGCTGGCCAGCAATCGCACCAAGACGACCTTCATGCCTATTTTAGGCTTCGTCAACGGCGTTTTGCGCTCGTAAGTGCCCATTTTTAGGTCCCTTTACTTCGTGCCCTTATGCTCCCCTAGGGAGAATGCCTCGTCCTCCCAGAAATTCGGCGCGCTCAACATGACTGCTGCCCTGGGTCCCTGGATTATGCGCCATCCTGATGTCTCCCCAAACATGGAGCAGTTCGTGCTGCAGTTTGTCACACCGAATTTTACGAGGCCGGAGGCGTATTTGCGTGCCATTGTCAGTTGTGTCTTGTGGGTTTGTGGGTGGTCAGACTAAGACAATGTTCCAGGCCTGTGAAGTCGTCGGGACAGTCACCAAAGACGGACTATCATTCTCTTCTGAAGAAGTATGTTGCAATATCCTTTTCTTCTGGCTTGTCACTTTGCTCAATGCCTCTCAGAATCTCAACGTCAACTTCCGTGCTATCGCAGCGGCGCTTGATGATCCTGACTTTGTCGTTCGGGTTCAGGCGGCTCTGGCCTTGACCGAACTGATTATTCTTCACGATTCTGGTATGTTGCTTGTTATCGACCAAGTGTACATGTTGATGGCCTCATAGTCAAGACCGCCGTCTCGCCCCAGGTTGGCAAAGTGGTACAGGGCACGTTTATCCGCCTTTTTTTCTTCTCCATTTCCGCTAATGCTTGCTCTAGACCTTCTCAAGCTGGCAGACGAGACCGACCTCGATATCCTTAACCGCAGCATGGAAGTCATGGTCAATGCATTCCAGACGGAATTGCTCCCCGTTGCGGCGCAGTTGACTGCACGCCTGGTAGGTGTTTCTCTATTGGCAAGATGGTGTGCTTATGTTGCTAACACAGTGCGAATCATATATGCGGTTGATCAAAGAGAGTCTCGCAGCGCCGGAGCAGCCAGAACTTGGCAACATCAGCTTCGATGCTCTCAATAACATGGATGACGACAAGACATACGCCGCCATGGGTTTCGCGAAGACCATCAGCACAGTTAGTTTTGTTATTGTGTTTGCAAGTTAAATGACGAGCTGCCTCACAGGTTATCTCTGCTGTCGATAGCTCGCAAGAGATTCTTGCCCAAGTCCAAGAGGTTATTATTCCAATCATCACCTTCACCCTTGAAAACAAAATTCTCGGTGCGCTTTCCGGCCGTTTCGCTTTAATTTCGCTGAAGGTTATTAGACCTGTTTGACAACATGTACGAGCTGGTCGACAGCTTAACATTCAAGCTTCGCTCTATTTCGCCCAATTTGTGGCCCGTTTTCGAGCTCACATACAATCTCTTCAAGTCCGATGCCGTCGATTTCCTCCAGGGTTTGTCCTCTTCTGGTTTGGTTTCATGTCTAACGGATTCCGAATAGAAATGCTGCCTTCGTTAGATAACTTCGTTTCGTATGGGAGCGATGTTATAAAAGCGCGTCCTGAGTACCAATCGATGTTGGTGGATATATTCACAACTTCGATGAGCCCGGGACAACCTCCAGAGAACCGACTGAACGGGTGCAAGCTCGCTGAATCGATTTTGCTCAATCTGAGAGGGAGCGTTGACAACGTGCGTTTCTTGGGAGATTCCCCAAATTTCTGGTCCTAACGATGAAGCTGCATAGGCTCTCCAAACCATGATTACTGTCGCTTTTAACCAAGTTGACAAGTTTGACACGGCTGCCCTGCGGCTTGCCAACCTGGAGGTCCTTGTCAACGCAGTTTTGTACAACCCTGCTGCGACGCTGCATATTATGGAGACGACGCATGCGGGCTCCGCCAGGGTGTTCTTCGACAAGTGGTTCGATACCGTTGCGGACCATGCGAAGATGCCTCGGGTTCATGACAAGAAGCTCGCGATTGTCGCGATGTGTGCGTTATTGGAGATGACGCCGGAGCAGGTTCCCGACTCGGTCAAAGAGGGTTGGCCGGGTATCGTTGGAGGAGTGCTGAAGATCTTCAAAGATTTGCCTGGGGCAATAACAGGTATGCTGGGTTACTGAGACGTTTTCGGAGGCTTATATTATTATGCTAGCCCGCAAGGAACTAGAAGACCAAGATGACGAAGATGACGACGACGATATTTATGAAGAGAAGGTGCTCAATATGAATGAAGACGACGAGGACGTCTGGGATGAGGACTCGGCGTATCTCGAAATGCTCGCAAATGAGGTATGCCCCCTTTCATATGGCCTCCTTTTGGATGCTAATCTGGCTGCTTCTCCTAAGGGTGCGCGTCTTCGGGCAAGAACGGAGCGGAAGGAAACGGGTGAAGAAGACAGTGACGACGAGGAAGACGAGATTACTGAAGAGCTCGGGTACTTCAGCACAATCGACGCTGTGAATCCATATGTGTCATTCAAGCGAGCCCTCACGAGTGCGTATTCTCCTTTGGCATCCATCATGTTTCCTCAAGCCCTTTCCAGCCTTCCAAATGCAAAATCCGTCTGCCTACCAGACGGCCACGACTTCGCTGAATGTCGACCAGCAAACAGTGCTTATGGAGGTCATGCGTATAGCTGAGCAGGCTGGCGCGCCTGCTGCATAATGCCACCCTCCTCAGCTTCTAACCGCCATTCTCCCCGCCCCGAGTCCTCCCGCTGTCTTGCTTTCCGTGCTTTCTTTCTCCCCTGTTCCCCCGACTACCTACCTACATATCGATACGCCGAACGCCGAATACGGGCTCCTGTCCACATACACAGTTTATGTTGTTACGAATAACGATCTCCCTCCATCTACCTCCCCCTTGTTGTTGTTCTCTTGTCCTTCCTTCCTTCCTTTGGCTGTTTTGTTTCGGCGTGGATAGGGCCGCGAAGTGTGTCAGGCATAGACTCTACCGTACTCACCGAATATCATTGTCTTGGGCTAATCACCTTGTGTTTCTCTCTCCCCCGTACGGCTCTGCGTCTTTTGGCCGGTGCAGGAGGCGCTGGTGTTGAGGTATGATCACGATTGACTATTGTGTTTGCGCTGATGTGAATGTACAGTGCGATCCTCGGAATACCTCGCATTCTCAGGTATTACTCGTAAGTAAGTGCCTTCGAGCTACGACATCTCAAGCAACGAATATCGCGCTATTTGCCTCGCCTTCGCAGACATCATATCCCCAAGTGGAGTCACGGTATACGTATGCAATGGCGGCATCGACAGGAGCTCGAGCTAAGTGATACTACTACTACCCATGGGAATAGGACACTGGTTCATCTCGGTGTGGATTCGATGTATCCGTCTTTCCGGGGAGTCAGGAGGGAATTGGGAAGGGCGCAACCTAGCCGCGGCAGGAGATGAAGAGCAGAAATGGAACCCGGTTCTGGCGAGCTACTTGAGCAGTGCAGGCTCTGCCGTCCGCGCGATAACGCGCTCTGCGCTGGCATGGGACTTCCAAGCGGGTCTTGGTTCTTGGGGCTGCTGGTCCCACTCGGAGCTGCTGGCACGAGCTTAACTGAATCAGGCGGGAAGGCGAGCGTCGGGCTCGGGCAGCAGTTTGTGGATCGAAGACGTGAGGTATATGCTTACCTTCAGAAGCGGGGCCCAGGACTGACAGCACCTAGTTTGACCCCCTGGCAGCGTTCGTGGCGTCGCACCGTGCACCTGGGAGTATGACATCCGCCAGTGAGGAGTCTAGGACAAGAACACCCGTTTCCCGATCATTGCCATCATCGGATTGGGTGCCGTGCTCGTCTTCAAGTTACAGAAACAGCCTTAGCCTGGGACGGGTGGTGGTGTCGTGGCCTCATCCGCGTCGACGCATTCCAGGCACTGCACTAGTGTTTCGTTATTCAAGGCACACGACTGCTGGATTACTTCAATGCCCGTCGCTCGCCACTCCGACGTCTAAGGAGTCTTCCTCACTGCCAGGACTGGAATTGGAGACTGCTTTTTGCCAAGGAAGTCGACGTCGCCAGGAAACGTGCAGAGCTTCAAGTTCAACTTGTTATCCGCTCAAAGTTGCTTCTCATCTGAAGCAGAACCACTGGCCCGTTAACTATACTTGGGCCTTGGCTCGACTCTGCGCCTTGTGCCTGGGCCGTGCCACGCTGGCTCGGACGAAGTACTGGCTTTCCTTACGACCAACAGACGAGGAAGGCCCGAAGCACGGAATCGGAAGACGTCGTGTATTATTATGTGATCTGTGACGCACATCGGCACGCACTGGCAACTTGTTTAATTCAAGCTTCGCTTCGATCTTCGATCTCTTCTTCTGGTGGCGCCGGCGAGGCGACTCCGGGCTGCCACCAGGTTTAGAACCCGGCCACGCGGCGCGGTGCCTGAGAGGAGCAGCACGGCGACCTCGAGCGGGCGTCCTGATGACGCAGCGCATCGCGTGATTGGCGGATTTAACGCAGCGGTGACGTGTTACTCGCCCACGATGCCGCCTCAAGCCGCCGGCCGCCGCTCGGCCCGAAATGAACTCCGACAAGATCAGACCTGCTATGTAGGCCGGATGAACGCGACTTGCGTGGGAAGTAAGTAGTCTATCTGCTCACCTTGTCAGTTCTAGGACCCTCAGGGTGAAATTGAGCTTTGCCCTCGTTTATATTGATATCGTTAGGTATCGCGTCAGAGGAGTCTCAAGTCTCTGCTCCATTCCGAGTTCATCGTTCTCAACTGAATGACGAACCCAGTTTAATTTCTCCCATATTACGACTCGAACTTAGTCAAAATCTTCGTCGAGAACAACCACCGAGACGGCTGAGCGGGTGCTGCAGGCGCCTAGTAATGCACGCTGACTTCGAGGTTTATTTTCCTCGCACTTCCCACCTCCCGAGACCTCTACACCTCCCCAGCGGCCACTCAACATGAGCCCATTGCTCACGTGTTTCTCCGAGATCGCTCGCCAGACGTCGGGAGCCGCGATTCTCGAAGACAGGGATGTCTTATAACAAGCGCGGGACGCCATCTTGGCACCCGAAAATAACTCGCGCTTTGAATTGACGGCGCCAGTGCGAGACTTTTCGCGCGAGATCAGCGATCTCCGTCCCTCCGTCGGGCTCGCACGCGCTCCTCGGCGCTGGGAGAATCTCGGACGCGTCGGAGGATCCCACGCACTCTCGTCAGCAACTCCTGCGCTGGGCTGCAACTACCGCTTTTCAACTCAGTGTGCGTTTATTAATATTTGTGTTTCAACTTTCAAGGTTCGTAGGAAGTAAATACTCACGTTCGGACATGCCGAGGCCGGCGGTGGCCGCTGGTCCAGTCATTCAGCCACCAGCCACCAACAGATAGATGCTTCGTGCCAGTGAATTTCGACGAGAGCAGAATGTAATTGGCTGCCGCCGACTCGGAGTGGATGATTTTCAAGTTTGTGGCTGACAGAGGATTTCGTTATATTCTGCCGGGTTGAATAGATATCAGAAGGGCAATCCTTAGTGTCGGGGAGTTCCGAGAGCTACTACACTCACCAGCTTCAATAAGAATGGAAAAACGAAGGGCGCTGTGCAGAGACAGCGTCTCGATGGAGAAAACATGAAAGGCGTCGCCCGAGAGTTAACTGCAGGAAATCTGATCGGCGACTCGAACTGGCCAGCAAGCCCCAGGTTCTACGATGGATCCACGCGAGGCTCTGCGCGGTAATGCAAGGGCGGCTCGCGCCATTATCGCGAGCCTGAGCTCAAGTTAGCATCGGCAATGGACGGAGAAGCTGAAGTCCTGAATGAATAAGCCCTGCCAGCGCACGAGCGGACAGACAGACTTATCAGATTGCTATACGCCCCGTAAGAAGAGCCCCGTTTAGCGCGCCGCCGGGTAGGCCCAGCGGCACGTACCTATGACAATCAGCGGAGGCTAGTCCGTTTGGAGGAAAGTCCCCAGTGAAGCGGAGCAAGCGATCTTGCATCGTGATTATAGATCATCTAGACTGCTACTGGTGTTACGGGGATACGGACACACCGATTCTGGCGTTTAGCAAGTCCTGGACAAGCGAATGGAACAGGGTGGTGAGTAACAATTGCCGCCTTGAGATCTGTCACAAGAGGCAACAAAGATGGATCCAGGCAGTGGATGAACAAGTACGAAGTCTTGTCGATGAAGTGCTCCAAGCACCAAGTCTAGTCCATCGACGGTCTCCGTAACGCAATCCGGAATCCGACTGTTTGACAGTGACAGCTGTCTTTGTCGGCCGTTGAGCGTCGGTCGTCGTCGAGATCACGGATGTGCCTGATTGACGCGACGATGATGCTCGGCAAGATAATGATAATCTCACAGATCCAACTTGTTGTGCGTTGTCCGTCAGTCGAGCATTCCCCGCTGGATCGCAAGCAGCCAGCAGATCTGACCACTCGCTGGCACTGATAACGCAAGTGCCAGCGCGCGAGATGAACGCCTGCCCGTGAAATGAAATCATATCAGCATCCAGCAATGGTGCATCCGAGATTGGGGCCTGCCTGTTTTTAGTCAAAGGCACCATTCTTAGCGTGCGTCGCACAGGCCAGCTGCGCGCTATTATGCGAGCGGCAGTCGAGCTTGCACGGGCGAACGGACATCTCTATCCGATTTCCGCGTTCCGCTGCGTAGCTTCGCCTTCTCCAGGGGGCTCTGATATAATATAACGGGCAATTCTGGAACGGGAAGCCGCGTTAAGGGTCGGATTCGTGCGCCTCGCGTCGCGTAGCTGGCCGGATGAGGCGAGGGTGGTGTCCACGGGTCTTCTGGACGCGTAAGGCCTTCTTTCGCGGAACGACTCACCCGGCCGACGCAGCTTGGCTCAGTTTCGGGCTCTCCACGAGTGTCATATAGCGCGGAAAACAGCGATAGATGCGTCGTTTCGGGCATCGAGAGGCAAAATGGGCTGGTTCGGTTCAGATGTGTACCGGGAATCCAACTCCCAACAGTCCAAGATGTGACGAGACGGCATCAGCTTCTTGCCAGCGACTTCTGTGGACACACCACGCACAGAATCGGCCGCCAAGGATTCGGAGCAAAGGACTTGAAGCTGTTGTAACCATACTGTATGGTGATACGTGATATACCCTGGACAAACTTGCTGGGAAGGAGCGCTATCGCGAGTAGAAGCGAGTCGATATGGGGATTTCGAGAGCCACTGGGAGCGTCCCAGCAGGCATAGCGCGCGGGATGGCATCCGCCTGACCGAGTGAGGCTGATAAGCCAGCAGTAGCCTTCATCCAAGAACACAAACACAGAGCTTCGTCTGCAACCTGAATGGCAAACCGTTGTCCCCGATCGACGATCTGCGAATGATCGCGCACGAGCTTTACCTTCGCCACAACAGGATTCCGAATAGCAAGCACACCCGAAGACAGGCAGAGTGAAATATGCGAAACACGATCGGGGTCAGCCTCAGCCTGGCCTTTCCCATCGGATGCGTTTTAGCCTGGCTTCGGAAGCTTCGCTTGGAGGGGTACAGTATACTGCAGATCTGAGCATATATCTGCCAAAAACGAGCTCGCCAGCAAGTCACTGCGCTTCCCAATGCGGAAAGAAGGAGTAGTCCAAGTAATCGCAGGATCCATATCGACTCGGCCGAAGACAATTGCGACGCGCTGGTTGATGCCATATGGCTCACATGGCCCGGGAAATGAAGCGCTGGCG